CAGTTTTAGGCTTATCATGTCTTAATTATAAATTTACTCACTCCCGATTCGCCAATAATCAACAAATCTTATGTATGTAATGATTTAACTGTAGATAACTTGATGTTAGAAGATAGATTAAAACTGTTGCATAGATGGAATGATGAACTTGCAGACAAAGGTGCCGAGTGCAACACATAATTTATTCTTGGGTATCCTTGATACATATCTCCATCACATATAATTAATTTCTTAAGATATCTCTTCTTGAGTTGTACAGCACTAGGAATACTATAATGCTCCCCACAATTTTATATACGCATAATCACATCTTTAACTGATAGATGAAAGCAGCTAGGATTAATTACGTGGTTGTGAAGTCGACAGAAGGAGAGCAAATACTGCGTATTTTGCAGTTGGAGTATTTATAAACTCGGCTTCCTTGTTTGAGTACATGTATCTGCTACTCTGCTAGATATCGCAAATAATTTTCAGCAAATGGAACTGTCTGTTACATTTAGAGATACACGTCACTGATTAAAAAGAAGATTCAAGTATTTGAATAAATAGATTTCTAAATATGCTCAGAGATTATTAAAGATCACTTTACAGGATTAATTTTCTTGAATAATAAAACTGACAAACTACCATGGGTATAGTACAGGTTCCCATAAAATGCTTTTCTTCGACGCCAATCACTTGTGCCTCGGGAAGATCTTTATGCCAAGTAGAGTTCAGTTCCTTGATGACCGATATAATGGATCAGTTTTAATGAAGACAGTCAGTCGGATAATGCTTGCCTTCTTCGTATGCCACAATTTCACGCATTTTGTGCAAGAGTAAACATATTTTGTTCCGAAATACTTCATAATAACCTGAATCCTCTTAAATGAAATAATAATGAAACGCATTTATCAAAATATTAAATCTACAACAAAACTTGTCAATTAATACTAATAATAAAATTGCAAACTCTATAAATCTGTCATTTGTTTCATGCATAGTGGATCAAATAATCTAAAAATGGTGTTAAGAATAAAAATCTCATAAAGGTGAGAAAAATATTAGTTTTTCAATTAAACAGAAAATAACTTAGTTTTACTCATATGTTTAATTTAATTTTACTCATGCCTATAGACGGAGGAAATTATTGTTATCATAAAAGTGAGAAAACTGAAGTGAACATAATTATTATAATATGTTATCAAAACATTTAAAAATTATGTAAAATTAATATATGTTAATTAAAAACTGAGTCGTAGACATGTATATTACATTGCACTATTCGTGTAATAATCGTGCACTATCTTTACCTCACATCTTAGTATAACATTACTAGCTTTAAAGGTGGAGACAGAACATTATTTTACGAAATCATAGGAGCTACTGGTCCTAGAAAAGGTTACTTTTTATTAATTTAATCTATGCAGCATAAGATCTATGCAGACTGAGCGTTAAGCATGCTGTTCCCATTTTCATACTTTGTCCATTGAATGATGATAATATTTATATTGGATTTATAGTGACAAAAACTGGGCTTTGTAATTCAATAAATAAAATATAATACAGCTAGTGATGAATTAAGAATGCCATTATTTGCTAACTGATTTCAAAATGATATCTTCTAATAATTAGATTATGAGGCAATTTATTTAACTTCATAATATTTTATTTTATTTTTAACTCTTTCTGAATATAATTTTCTTTTCAAACTATTCTAGCTTGAGTCATGAATGATCTGTTCTTTTCTTACATCTTGCAATAAATCTTTTCAAACAGCATTTATTGGATAAATCTATACCATTAAAATTTGCGCGAGTCTGTTTGTTTGTGACATCATCTGCTCCGAAACGGCGGGGAGTTGAATTTCGAGAGAGGATTCTAAAAATTCGGAAGAAGCCATTTCAAACATTCCTAATGTTCATGCGACTTTAATCGGCTGGAATATTAATTAAAAACTCTGAAAACGTTAATTTTTGCACTCATTTTTCCAAGTGGCAACAGTCGCGCTCGCTGGAGATAAAAATCATATTCTGACGTTGAGCAAAGCACATGATTGCATGTGACGTCATTGTATGTCGAAAAGTTTTCGTTAACATAAGCATTTTAAATAAATAGCTGCTGTTGGAAACTTTTTTTTTCTTTCAGGTTAGGATGACTGCCAAGATATGTTATTGTCATATTAATTCTTTATTGATGCTGAGAAAAAGTTGTTATATTACATTAAATTTAAATCATGACGTCATACCCATATCTGAAGTGTCAAAAGCTTTTGCTGTCGCCCAGACGGTATAGTGGTACTAGACTGTACTATAGACGGTATAGAGCCTACTACGTTAACGAAAGGCCCGGGTTCGAATACTGGAGAAGACATGGATGTTTGTAAATGTATAGTGGCGGTGCACCATGGCGGCACTCTAAATATGCGGCGAGTCGAAAGTCCTCTCGTATGGATTGTAGGTAGATCCCCAAATCTCCCCCGGGGTGCTCTCCCTCAAAATTGGGAGTGGAAAAAAGAAGTCCTACCTCTCTTCGAATTAGGCTCTGGTAAAAATTGTTCCATGTAACATGGACACGACAACAACAACAAAAGCTTTTGTTTCTCGGTTTGGCAACAAAAAAAAAATATTCACGAATTGGTTGCTGCTTGGAAAGAATGAACTGATTTCATTCATATTCAAATGTTTTAATGCATTTTCTCTTCAGGTGTACATAGAACTTATAAATTTTGCTTTGGCCGCAGCCCGCTAGTTATCTACTATATCAAGCGCCTGTTAGGCCACGAATTGCAAATGAAGGCATAATTGCAGTAAGATAGTAAGAGTAAGGCTTTCTTAAAAAAATATGAGTTCTCTCATTGTGTAGCAATATTTTACCACAGCTACGATATTTCATTCCGCAGACCTTCAAAAAACTTATATTCTTTCCTCTACGAAAGATAACAAAGCAACTTATTTAAAGACAAAGATAACAAAGAATACAAATATAACAAAGAATTTTAATTCATGTTAACACTATCTCTCCAATCTTACAATCAATTTTTATCTTTGTTTTAAGTATTTTATTACTGTAGTCATATGACAAAAGAAACTGCGATAACTTCCTGTAAATATTAGCCTTTAGAGTAACACAAGAATTTTATCGGATTATTTTAAAGGTAGTATTATAGAGCAATTTGAAAGCAAGCACTGAAACGTTTAAACATATCTAAATCAATCAAAATCGTAAAAAACAACCTTATATTTAGCGTAGATATAATGAAACACTCAATCGATTTCGAGGGCAGCTAAAGGTCCCTCCTCATCAGGAGAAAGAAATACATAGAAAGAAGAAAATAGGAGAAGGCGTCACAGAAACACGTGGTCCTTATCAGCACTGCACGTGGTTATAACTAGATTTTTAATCAGAGTTGCACTGGCCGCCTACTTTACTGGGCCAGGCTATCTGATCAAGCATAAGAAATATTAGCGAAGTTAAAATAGGAGCGAGGGGCAAATGCACCTTACGCTCAAAATCTGAACTTCAATATGGAAAGCAACCACTGAACGGATTTTTTATACCCTCTGGTAGTACCAAGCGCGAGGAGGTAACGCATCTATCGGCAAAAAATAACTGAATTAAGATAGTAGAATTTTAAAGGCATTAGGAGGACTGGATTGGACTTCAAATCATTAACTAAACTGCTAAATCTTTGTGAATGTGAAAAGCCTCAAGAAAATCCATTCACCTATGGAAGAAGCCTTTTGGATGATTTTTTGCAGACCCAAAATCAAAATTAACGGTTAAAAGTCCAACTATGATACGCTATTGAAGACTTGTTAATTTCGCCTTTTTTGACATAAGATTCATGTTCCTTGATACGAAACTTCAACGCTCTTTTTGTTTGGCAATATATCTTAAACCACACTGACATGATATACTATAAATTCCCCAGAATTCAAGACAGAAACGCAATCTTTTAGAATCGATGGGTGAATTTTATTATAGGGGAGAACCGACTTGAAAATTTAATTTCTGGAGAATCCTGCAATTTTATAGCTAACAGAAGGATAAAATGGAAGCACGACAAGGTCATCAATATTATTTCTAACAGTGGAATGTCTTCTTTGATGGGAATCTGAAAATTTTTTATTGGCTTTATCAATAATCACGGAAGAAAATCCACGGTCAATCGCAACTGCTGGCCAGTGCAACTCTGATTAAAAATCTAGTTATAACCACGTGCAGTGCTGATAAGGACCACGTGTTTCTGTGACTCCTTCTCCTATTTTCTTCTTTCTATGTATTTCTTTCTCCTGATGAGAGGGACCTTTAGCTGCCCTTGAAATCGATTGAGTGTTTCATTATACCTACTCTAAATATAAGGTTGTTTTTTACGATTTTGATTGTCACATTAGCGTGTTTCTCTTCTAGTCTATATCTAAATAATTCGAATACAAAATTCGCAGTTTCTTTTTCCAGATTTTTCATATTATCATAAAGTGTTTAGATATCTACTTCATTTGTTACACAGGATACTTCTAGACTGCATTTGGTCTCGTTTCAAATCCTGCGAAGTTGTGATGGCTACTGTAAATTTTGCCTGGGATGGATTAGGAATAATTTCATCATGCGCAGTGTTGTCTTAGTCTTAAAAAATAAGTCCGTTGAAATGCGAGAAGAAAAATGATCCTAGGGGTGAAATTATATTGTGTTGAAATCAGGTCCTCTTACAAAGCCACACATAATCCACTCCTCTACATCAACGTACTATTTTATTTAAACCTTTATGCCAGGTCCAGAAATCTTTTATTGCTCTGTTCACTTTAGCATCTAAATCATATGTAATAGTAATTAAAAACTTACTAGGTTCAGGTTCATGTCAGTGGTAAAATGAAATTAGCTGATCCTTTGATTAATCATACTTCAGATATAATTATTAATTATTAAAGTGCCTGTAGTCTGTAGTCTGCTGCAAGCTTTATTTTGTATGTGTGTTGTATGTTTGTTTATAAATTAATCTGGATTTATTCTTCTCTTAGATCTGGATCCCGGTGATTACCATCCGTTCAACGAAGGTCGTGAGTGCGTCAATTGCGGAGCCATATCTACACCTCTCTGGAGGAGGGATGGAACGGGGCACTACCTGTGCAACGCATGTGGCCTCTACCATCGTATGAATGGAGTTAATAGGCCTCTCAGCAAACCACAGAGAAGGCTTGTATGTTCAATAATGTCTACACCATTTTATATAAATATGCATTATAATTATTGTTCCTGTAGCCTGCTGCAAGCTTTATTCGTTGGCTATTAACACAAAAAGCTTTCAGTACAAATTTAGACTTATAAAGTACAGTTTAAGATTAAATTTCAAGAAAAATGAAAGATTAAATTTAAGGATGCCTGGTCAGTAATAGTTATGCTATAAATTTATTTTTCTCATTCTTATATATTTTAAGGAGCTGATTTTGATTACAAAATCCAAATTTTTTGTCTCCATGTTTATGCGGCACTCTCCTGTTCTGTGTCGATTCAAGCCTGTTGTCGATATATGGCTGTATTTAACACCTACATATATCGAAAACAGGCTTGAATTATCTTGATGGTGATGTTGATTTACGAGAACTAGTTGAAATATTGTCATCAAGATTAAAGAAACAGACTCTCACAGGAAAGAATGATAATTCAATACTTCTTTCCAAAAGCAACAACAATTAAATTTAAATATGTTTCAGAAAGAATGATTTCATGTACTGCAGTGATCGCATCCTGAAGCAAAAGGAGGCTCTTCTAAAAGCAGTCCCTCTTCATAACCTAAATGATTTTTCGTTAAAATAACTGCTTATGCTGCATAATCGAAATAATCATATGAATTCTTGTTGAATAACATGAGCTACAAGATACATCCACGGCATGTCTGTGGGGATTTGAAAGCAACAGGTCTACTCCTTGGATTGCAATTTGGACACACAAAACGCTTCTAATTTTGTGTGAGTGAGAATATTAAGGCTATTATTAAGTCAAATTTAGTTAAACGTCTTGCCTCAAATGGAGACATAATCCCCAAGGCTTTAAAACATATCTTCATAGTCCTTATTATGTCCTGGTTAAACGAGGTTTAATGAAAAACTTGTGAGAAATGGAGTGAAAAAGACAAAAAACTTCTTACCTGTGCATAAAATTATGTATGAGCACAAAATATAGGACAATGTAGTTAATTAATCCATAAATGAAAGAACTAATTAGTGACCTCCATTAAAGGTACATTGCGTAAGGTTGATTATCACTTAAAGAAGAGTGAAAGCATAGTGACGAGCTTCATAGTTTACCCAAACGCAGGAAATTACAGACAATTAATAATTTTCAGAGAAGCTACACTGCTAGCCAATAAAATTTTATACTATAAGGGAAGAGAATAAGCCTACAATTTGGATGATGAAAGGTAAGGCAAGAAAGATTTATACAAGAGTAAGGTTATTTTAGGTGATTTGGATATCACAAAGCCACGAGAGCTATCTGCGTGGATCTGATATCTGCTTTCGTAAAGGAGTTTCTAAGGATACTGGTTCGTATTCACATTACATATTTGAAAAACAACGGAAACCAAGCATGCAGCCAGCCCGGTCGAACTACGAGTATATAGCGATTTTAACTACTCGGCCATTAGTAGGGCAGCGAAAGTAAGAGCAACTAAAGACAGTTTTAAAAGTAAATTTATAAGCGAAATGTCGGTTTTTCATTCGAAAACTTGGTTTGCAGTTTTTTTTTTTTTTTTTTTTTTTTTTTTTTTTTTAAGATGGATCTTAAGCTAGCACATCTCAAAATTCGACCACTGGAGAATCGTGTACTAAGACTGTGGATTATTCTACCACGCAACTGCTCCTCGCATTTCACGCAGTCCAGTTACTGTTATGAGAATTTGCAGTCGATGGACACAGAAGGATCAGACAACGTTTATGTGTGAGATTTCCGCGGTCTCTATCCATCAATATCTAAGACAACTGACATCTTGACCACATCACTATTAAGAATCGTATAACCATATCATGTATTCTACTAGTTCAGGAAGCTGTTTCCTGCATAGGGTTGATTCATACGATGACGTCTGCAAAGCTACGAATTATCTGCAAGGCGACCTTGTGTTATTTTTTTGATGCTGTAGACCGGGAATCAGCTAATACAGTAATGCGTTCAGCGCCGTGCCTAGACGCATCAGTGGTGGGATGTCATCTTTTCTGACGAATTTCGCTTTTGCTTAGATTATGGTGACTATATCTGTGTGGGGAGGCGTCGAGAGAAGAACACTAGAAGCTTTTATTTGTTATTATAATGCAGGTCCAGGCACCCGGGTTGATGGTATGAGATGTTACTGAATATACATCTAATTTCATTCTGATCTGTGTATCCAGTACATTGACCAGTCACCGTTATTTACTGAGGTTTTAATGCCTGTGTTCGGAGCATATCTTCGTAGTCTCCGTCGTCCCAAATTGCAAGCTGCGGTTGCAATGAAACTGACAAAAAATATCTGCCACCTGTACGACAAAAACATGCTGGCATGGACTTAAGCTACATGAGCTGTAATGCGCGTTACTGTCATAGAAAGTCTGTATGATCTATTTCTTGTATTTCTTGTCTAAACAATCTATTTCTTGTCTTGTCTAGAATCTATTTCTTGTCTTAACTATCTATTTGTTGTTTTTCTTGTCTAATACATTTCTGCTTGTAGATTTATAGTATTATTTATAGAAACAAAAATATCAATGAAAAAAAAGTATCTTTATAAGGTATTTTGTTTGCATTTAATTGTGTCCTGTAAACAGGACAACGATACGATCCCCAACTTTTTTTGCTCGTCTTTTCCCCAATTCATGGATCACATTCCTTCATACCAATTTCGAACAATAGCTATTCACACGATGATATTAGAGGGATATATGGAAGGATTCGGGAATGGATTATTCTGGAGTTTTCTTTTGGTATCTTTTGTATTACATTACAAAAGTAAAATGTTACACAACCTTCTAAGTTGGTTTTTCTGACTAAAAGAAGGTTCATCTATGTGATGTTTCCTTGGCAATAGCTTTAGCAGGTGTTACTTTTGTATAAAATAGATAAACATTCTAAAGAAATTAACCTGGTTAAAAAGCCCCTTTCTAACCAAGGTTACATCTTCGTTTGAAAGGAAAAGAATTTTGGGCAACTGGAACTGTACTAGATAATCCAATGGCAAAATGTCCACTTATGCCTTCGAAAACAGTGAATAAAATGGAGGCTCTTCTGATGCACTGTTTCACGAAGTAAACAAAATAGCCGTAGTAAGATGGAATGATAATCGTGTAGCGTCTTTGCGGACAAATTTCGAAGAAACAAAAGTGAAAAACAAATTGGAGCCAGGAGTGAAAGGAAGCAGGAAGGAAATTGATGTTTCATTTTGTGTAACTTCATACAACGAATATAAAAATGAGGTGGATTTATTTGATAGCCGAATAGAAGCTGATTTTACTTCTACCCAAGGAAAAAAGTAATACTGGTCCCTTTTCTTGAACTGCTTTGAAACAGCTCTCATCGCAGTGTGGAAAATTTCCAAAGGAAGCGCAGGACATTACCTCTTCGAAGATCTATTACTATAAGTTATTTAGCCGAGGCGATGGCTAAGGTGTGACATCAGGCAAGCGATTCGCTGCAAAATAATAAAGAATTCCTCCGTCTCGGCCGCTAAACGATAGTGATAAAAAAAAAGTCCCGAGGGATGCCAGTGATGATGCTAGTTAAAAATATGCAAGAGGTAAACCTATAACTAATTGAAAATTAGGCAATACTGTACTTTGTATTTACTGTTTTTCCAAATTTCATTGCTAATTTCCTTTTGAGTAAGGAAGCAAACTTTTTGTAAAATTTAGTAGTGTATTGGACCGTTGTCCTATTAATAGGACAGCATGTAACGTAATAAAATACAAACAATACCTAAAACCTTTTGTTTTACATGTGTTACTACCTCATGTTATTGATAAAGTGTTGTATTTTTCTGTTGGAAAGTTTTGAGAGTGGTCCGATATGGGTTAAAGTGTGGCAGAATTCAGCACTTCCAACTAAAACATGAAGATTATTTAAATTAAGATTTTGTCCCAATATGAAAGTTTAAATTAAGTAAAATTAATCAATTTTTAATTTTATAAGCAATAAACTGACTATCTTTTCAGATTATTCTGGCATAGCTTCAAAGAGTTTCATTTGATTTTTTAGTATATCCGTTAAGTAAAGACCCTAAGATTAATATCTACCTCTAATGGTATTTCAACTAAATAAAAAAGGTAATAATAATAATAATAACACTGAAATTATCAATAAATTACGTAAATTAAGCCTATAGTTATGAGATTGTTTAATTGTTTTAACTATTGAAAATAAATCTGAAGTAAAATTTTAAATGGTAATGAATATTTTAATAAAATGTTACATTTATTGGATCAGAGTTAACTCTTGTTTCGCTAATTGACTTTTTTATTTGAAGTTTGTTTTTATCATATTAGAAGCCGAAATTAATTTATTAATTTTAACATTTCTTGCACGTATTACACTATTATGTTAATTACAAAACTTTCGTTACTGTATTTTATATCAACATTCATGGATCATTCATTCATGTATGAAGATTAACAAATTCTATAAAAGTAATATAACAATACTTGCATGGAAGTTCATATTAGATTATAAATTATTCTTAATAAATTCAAAACCACATCACAGAATCACCCAAAATTATAAAAATATATTAGTCGATTTTTGCATGAAAGATTTGTTTTTAAAATTTCATTTTAAAGGAAACAATGGATTTAGAGTTTAATCTTAAATACAGTGGATTTAAAGTTTGATCTTAAAGGTAAATATTTAAATCTGGCAATTCAAAATCAAACTTCTGAATATTCTTAGTAGTCATGATCCACTTGTCATTGTTTTGTCAACGGTATGACGTTGCTTAGTCATGACGACGTTTAAGTGGACATTGTCTTGCTCTCCATGGTTGATTTTTCTTTATTTTGTATGCAATAAATAAATAAATTGTCTGAAAAATAAAGAATTTCTTTAGAGTCTTTGGCGACTTCAGAAAGATTTTGAATATGAAATTTATAAATATGGTTTAAACATAAAAATAAAATAATTCTATAAACAGTTCTGTAATTGAGATAAAATGGCTGAAAAAAAATTAGATGTATTATTTCAACCATTACGAAAGACAAAAGAAACATGATGAATTGGTTCTCTACAATACTTGACAGAGCCGCTTTATGAATTGAGTCAGGCAAACAAAAAGTTAAGATAGTTAGCATTAAACTAAATGAAATTACCCATAACTGAACAAACTTGTCAATCAGAGTGATAAGCCTAATATATTGTGCACAAATAAAGATGTGCTGTAATATAAAACTACCGAACCATTCAATTCATTCATGAATGATTCACTTCATAGCAAAGATAATTGCGGCTGATTTTGCTTGTATGTAAACTTAAGTTAAAACCAATGTTATTGAATCTAACTACACAAGAAAAGTTTGTTTACTTTTCCTTTAAACTTCTGACTAATCCTCCAGACTATGATTTTATCGAACTGATACTGAAGATTTAGTGTACCATATATTAGCATAAATAAAGAAGTGCAAAACCGGGTTAAAAATATAATAAAAAAAACACGCAATTTAACAAATCTTAAATATAAAATACCCATTAAACTTCCTAATACGCGCAATGCAACTGTATCATTGTGTGTGTATGTGTGTGATTATGGCAAAGCCTCGAGGGCTATCTGCCTAAGGGGAGGGATGCCTTCGTGGAGGACTTTCTAAGGGAAACTGGCTCGTATACACGTTACACATGGGGAAAACCACGAAAACACCCATGCAGCCAGCCCGTTCGCGGGATTCGAACCTCGGACCGAACTACCAGTGTTCAGCGACTTTACCGCTCGGCTGCTGGTGGGCCCAACTGTATCATTAAATATCTACTAAACATTTCCTCTGTAAAAAACCAGATGAATAATATATATATGCAATTCTTAAATCGAGTACTTAATTGTTAATATTTACTTTCTATTCTCATCGCACTGAACAAATTAGTATTCAGTTTATAAGGTATTTCTCCCACTTCCCTAGCGTGTCTTTGTGGTGTAATGGTAGCACGCTGGGCCGGTATTCCAGAGGTCCGTGGTTCGATTCCCGGCGAAGGCGGTTGCATATTTTCATTTTTTCTGCTTCCAATTAACTGTACAAGTTCTTTTGAGAATCAGCTTTTGAAAATGATAATCAGTAACAAAAGCAGGAATTTTTACCTACATTAAGTAGCAAACTTGTACCAATGCGTATTTATTTGTATAGGATGCTTTGTTTCAGATCCTTAAATACAAATCTTAATATTCTGAATATCATTTTATTATGAAAATATAAAAATAATTGAATTTATTGATAACAAACAGATAGATTTAACAGAAAATTTTCGACACTCAAATTTATCTTCTTGAAAACTTTTATTTATCAACAGTATCAGAATTATAATCATAAACATTTTTTATACTTAAGTGTCATTCTATAAAATAAAACATATTGTTTTGTTTAGCCTGCCACTCGCCGAGTTGGTCTGTCTTGTTCAAATTGTGGAACAACTACCACTACTCTGTGGAGGCGGAATAACCACGGAGAACCGGTGTGCAATGCTTGCGGCTTATACTACAAACTTCACAACGTAAGGATGATGATAAAATATTCCTTTTTTTAATACATAAGTATTCATTCTTTATACTAGAAAACTATGGTATTTCCTTTATAAACCATATTTCCGCATTCTGTCTTTTGATTCATTTCTATTGCATAAATGTCTTAATTCATATACCCTGATGGACAATTGCTAAGGGCGGATCACAAACGGCTGTATAGCGCGAAAAAAAGTAAGTGTGGTTAGATGCCAAGTGAATTAAAATAATGCCAGAATACTAGAATATAACAATAAAGATAATTTATTGTGCTCTAAAATCCAGAAGATCTACAAAAGTGCTCAAGGGACACAAAAATTTTGTGCTCAATACGTAAAATGGAAAAATTGAGAAGTTGCAGTTCACAGGCATCCTGACTTAAGATGTCACTACGGGATATGGCCACCATGGAGGGGTGTGCAAGATTCCAGACGTCGTGTCATTCTTTGCATAATATTATCCAGTAGTTGTCGGGGGTAATTTATCCCTTCCTCTGTCAGTGCACGAATGAGGGTGTCCTTGTTTATTGGAGCGTATTGTCGACCTCAAGACTCCTCCCTCTAGACACTCTTGGACAGCTACTGTTCGATAACGTGTTGGTTTGTCGTCCGTGAAAGCAAATTTATCACTGACAGCACCACCGAACATGAGACACCGATCATCATTAATGTATCGTTGGCCAGTCATATGTCAGCTGGAAGCACATAAAGTGACGTATATCCGTTCCCAGTTCATACCATGACATTACATATATGATACCGGTTCCTTTCTGGTATAATTGCCGGACTATATGCAGTACCACTTTCACGCCAGATCAATTGATGTCTACAATCCTATGACAGACTGAATATACTCTCATCTGAGAATAGTACACAAGCTCAGTCGTCTTCCCTATAGTTCCCAACGATGCTGACGATGACATCGCAAACGGGGGGGAACAATGGAATGCACGCTGTGATAAGGTCGCATAGATGTTCTTTGTCCGGTCGTCCAGGGGGACCGAATTCCGAATGCAATGTACCTCTTTCACACGAGAGGAGAAATCCTGGTGCAGTGATGTTAATTAGTCTGGTTTCCCCCTCAAAGATCACGCAGGCTAGAGATAAAGAAGTCTTTCACCAGGGTCGGAATGTGGACACCTTTGTTATGTAGGAGTGGTGGAATTTCTTTCCCTGGGAGTTCAGCGGAAGTAATGACACCATAAGTTATTAAAATTTTGGCAGCGAAAAAGGAAGGTGGTTTTTTTGAGAAAAGCCAGGACCTTCTTGCTGGGGCTATGGGCATTTTGGCCCGCTAGAATTATGACTCCTCGTGTATGCTGTTGATCGCGCACATTCTTGATTAACAGTTTTATGAAATTGCGGGACTAAATGCAATCAAGTCTCACATCATTATGAATCGCAATTGTTAATGTTTCTTTGTAATTAAAATACATTTTATTGTTAGAATTTCAGTTAGAAGTCCATTTCAACCCTGTATTTACAACCGGTGTTTGTGTAGCGGTTTTAGCTGCTACACCACAAGCAAAGGACGGAGGGTGTATAGTCCTCCTTGATGCAAACGTCTAGCTACAGTTTTTTGGGAGATTCGCTTTGCAATAGCAGCAAGTAGCAGATTTGCTAACTCAGTAGCTATGCTGAGCAGGTTCCTTTTTGTCGATAGCACTTGGTGCTTATATCCTGCAGGCATCGTACAGCGAATACGGTCTCCTACGTGACGTTTGCTGTACATTCCATTTGTCTGAAATGATTTCATAAGTCCTGAAACAACACTGTGGCTAATGTCAAACTCTCTAGGATTATCTGCTATATTTCGACCTTCTTCAATCTTGCCAATAATACGACTGGACGTGAAACCATCTAATTGATGTCGTGAAAACATACTGAAAATTGCAAATTCGTCAAATGATTCTTTTGCGTTAAATTTTGCTTTTGAACAACAACAGTCAATTGGCTTCAAATCCTTTATATCTCTTATCAGCGCTTTCATGTGACTAACAACTTTGGAAGTCCAAGATTTTTTGCGCATAACGGATCTTACTGTATCCCACAAAGCCGCCCAGACAGTACTGTGGTTACCGAGTTCGAATCTCGGAGAAGGCATGGATGTAAAATTGTCTGTCCCTTCATAAGAGGTAGCGGTGGCCGCGCATTAGGTGCCTCCACGATAAAATGGCCACCACTTCTGGCCTTAGGAGTATGCAAGGGCCCGACAATGAAAAAACATCTGTACCCCACAGTTATGCTAATTTTCCCATTTTCTTGCTAATTTTCCATTTTGTGGTTGTTGTCGCCGTCCTTAGTAATTAATTGTCCACCAGTGTATATATTTGTATTTAACAAGTGATGTTATAAGATATAATTATATTTTAGCAAATAATATGTACACGCATGATAACACCATTGATCAATGAATACGATAGTTGAACACTCAAAGTTCGACCCAAGTCGAAATACCCGTGAAAAAGACTGTCTTCTTGTGTACGTCTCTGGTTTCCTCCATGTATAACATGGCTACATGTAAAGCTAGAGAATTTTCCCTAGGAAATTCTTTAAAAAGACATCTCTTTCCTTTAACTGTTAGCTCTCGACTGCTTTGTAGTACTCAATTAAATAGTATATATATATATATATATATATATATATAATATTGGTATATATATGCATATCAAAAATTAGTGCGAGATCACCCTGAAACTACATAATATAACAAGTTAAAATTCAAAAAGCTTGTAAGAATTATTTTAATTTTATTAACAGTGAAATTTTTGAGTTAAACTTCTTTCCTGACAAATTCTTAACTTCAACTTACTACTTCCGGCCAGAACGTAGTTTTAGATTCACTTCTGAATGCATAATGAGGAGGACCGGTATTTAAACCGCGAAGTTCTTCGGTCTTAGTGAGTCATTCGACCGCGTCTGGCATGAGGGGCTTATTTATAAACTTATAAATCTCCCTATGGATAGAGAGCTGATTCAGCTAATTATGTCTTTCATCACTAATAGGAAATTCACTGTGGCTATTGGAAAGGACATCTCCAGTTTACGCACCATGAATGCAGGCGTCCCACAGGGGTCCATTTTAGGGCCCGTCCTGTATTTATTTTATGTTCATGACTTTCCTAGGGCTCACATTGGCAGAAATTACTTTCTTGGGTGCTACGCGGACGATACGGCATTAGCCGTAAAGTCCGCAAACGCACACCATGCAATCAAGAAATTACAGGAGAATCTACCAGTGGTAGAAAAGTGGTGTAAGACTTGGAGAATTGCTATTAATGCCAGCAAGTCGCAATTATTATTGATAAGGAGGAAAAATACACAGTTGACTATTAACAGTAAGCTCTTCTTATTCTCTGAAGAGATTCCTAGAGTTAGTAAGGCGAAATATTTAGGAGTAATGCTAAATGAAAGATTAAAATGGGGAGATCATATAACAGAGGTCAGAAGAAAAAATTTTCACTGTTGTAAATAGTCTCATCCCTATATTGGGTAATTATTCTAGCTTAGAGACCTCAGGAAAAAGAGAGGCTAGTTTATATCACGGCAATTAGGCCATTGATGACTTATGCGTCGCCGGCCTCGTGCACGGCTACCAAGGAGGATATAAAAAGACTTCAAATCATGCAAAACAAAAGTCTTAAGGCTTATCACCCATGCTCACTTTTTTGTGAGCAATGCTACACTACACTGTGACTTGAAAACTGGACACTCTAGAAGAGCACTTGAATAAGATCAAAAGGAAATTCTTCACGAAAGCTCTGAACTGTGACCATATGAGAAATTTTGATATCTTTACCTACGAAATATTGAATGAGGACGCCAAACTGCGCCCACTTGCGGCCCACCTTATCAGGGACCCGAACTTTCCCACCTAGTGCCCACCTGTAAATGATGTACCCAATGTGTTTATTAGCATTCTTAATTTTGTATTTTACTCATTTATTGTACTGTGTATTTCTTAAATTCTCTAGTTTTATTCACATTCTACACTCATTTTATGACTCCCACTTAGTCACGCGCCTTTACCGGGCCGGTTACTTGCTTGTGAGATCTTGCGTTGCTGGTCTTCCTATTCTTTAATCCGTCTTTCTCCTCCTTACTTACTGCGGACATTATGTGAAGATAGTTCTATGTTATTGTGCCCATCCGGCATAAATTTGATTGAGCCAGATAAACTACTGATCTCAGTGGTATTCTGGCTATAAGTTATCAGTCAGTCAGTCAGGTCTTAGTGAGAGAGTTACCAGGTATTCTTGTCTGCACGCGTTCGGCTTTTTAAGCTTCTCTCTCGTAAGCTATTATTACGCTCCCCCGTACTTAGGCCCTTGATAGCTTCGCAGTCAGTTAGCGTTAAGGGGCCAACTCGGTTAGAATCTTGATAGCTTCGGCTATATCTCTTTTTAGTTTAGATTAGTTTTAGTTTACTTCTTAGCCTCTTAAATTCAAGCTCAAGTGTCGGCTTTTATTGTACAGTCCAAGACGGAGTTCTGTTAAATCTTATCTGAATAATAAAGAGTTATTTACCCTTCCATCTTGCTGTTTCTTGTTGCACGAATGCAAGCGATTTTTCGCTTATCAGTTCTTAAGATTCTTCATGTTCAACTGTAACTTAGCATTTACAAAGTGAGGAACTCTACAAGCTTTCCAAAATACATGGAAATTTTGAAATGTCGAAATGTTAAAATGTGGTCTAATGTTTAAAATCAAATTTCAGCCTTCTTATGATTGTATCCTGAAAACCTGTTTTAGGAACTGTTAGAAATGCCTGTTTCCAAGGCAACGTTTGCAAAGATACTCAAAATGTACTCCAAGAAGTAAAATTGGCAGTTATTTAAGATATTATATTTATTTTTTAGGATGTGTAATTTTCCCACTTTTAGGTGTATATAGTAATTTTTAATATGAATACACACACACACACAACTATATATATGTACATAATGCATATCAAAAATCAGTGCAAGAGCATCCTTAAACTGCATAATATAACAGGTTAAAATTCAAAAAGTTTGCAAAATCACATTGAAATTTTGAAATGTTAAAATGTGCTCTAGTGTTTAAATAACATAACTAGTTAAAATGGTCTTCTAATTATCATATATAGATATTAAATTATAATTTTGTCATTTGTTTTTACTTTTTATCTTGTTATTTGACTTACCTTAAGTTTGGCAGTGTATGTTGTTTTCCATTTGCAGTTTCCGAAAAATACTGTTTCTAATTATCGGTGAACTGTATAGTAATATAGAATTATAATACTAAAACAAGTTCATGTCATAATAATATTTTTTTGGATTGTCGCTTCTGTTAATAATATTGAATATTGACATACTGCAATAAAATATAGCTATAGTTTTCATAGATCTGCAGATTATTCAGTGCATCATTACTGTACATGAGTGGTGTTCAGTTTGTTTTGCCCCATACGCCCCTTTCATCATTCCAGAAGATCATCTCTCCGCTCCCTTCTAAAATTCTAAAAATACATATATACATTTATTTAGACTTAGATTACTTTTTAACATGTTTTATAAGTTAAAATACAAAAAATGTATAAAATATTGGTAAATACCAAAACATAAATACTTTTTTTACATTCATAAAATAATACTCAACAGCTAAATAAATGTCCGAAAGTTTTTTCCTTCCCGATGCTTTAAAATTTCCCCTAAGGCAAAATTATTCCCACTGGGAACTTCTGTTCTATATTATAAACAAAAACTAGTTGTGTACAAAAATTTATCATAATGTCATAAACTTTTTTTAAAGTACTGACATCCTTGATTGTTAGTTGACTTTCGGTTTGTTTTACTTTCAAATTATGAGTGATCGATCTGTGCACTGTCTGAAGCGTAACCGACTTGTTGCTTTCAGATGAACCGTCCCTTAGCTATGAGAAAAGCTGGCATTCAGACCAGAAAAAGGAAACCAAAGAACACAAACAAAGCCGCTGCTGGGAAAATAACGGAGCAGTCTGCGTCATCAGGTAGGTATAATTGCTCTCAAAAACTCTTTTTGAAGCTTCCGTTTTGCTCCCAAAAGTACTTTTATTATGCTATAGTTACAAGCCTTACTGCAGAAAAAAAAATTAAATTTCAAAATTAAAATTTTTCGCAATTACTGTGTGAAAAAGTGTTAAAATAGGATAATTCAAATGAAACAGGTTTTGATCTATGAACAGAAGTTAGTAAGACAGTCCAGGTACTTACGTATTAATGCAACCCACTTGCACAATTGGCGCTTTCCTGTATATAAGAATTACTTACCGAGTGCAAATTAGCGATTTCAGCGAATTTTTGTTTACATATTCTTTGGATATTGATACATGTCGTAAGCCAGCAAACATCATCAATGTATCAAAAGAGAAAACCAAATGTATCAGAAAAGATTTAAATACAAATTTTAATTATTAAGTAAGAATTTTACAACACATTAAAGATATAAAACAGTTTCGCTAAATCCTTCCCTATTTTTAGAGCTCTTCTTCTGCACAGAGATTTGTTCCCGCTGATAAAAGGAGAATTACACAAACTTCGCATTGCGCACCGGCTATCTACCATTCGCATCTCATCATTGCTTTCTTTACCGAATTTGTCGCAAAATACTGTATTCATGCAGAGCTTTTGCGGCAGTTTCTTCCTTTGCTTGTAAATACTATAAGCAATATTTTAAAACTGAGTTGAAGGCCAAAAATATAATGATTTATTAAAAGAAAATATCCCTGAATTTGAAATACTATAAAAAGAACGCATACGAAACCGATGGCGTTGCTCTACTAAAGGACTGTTCATGAGCATGGTTACCCATACGCATGGTGCTGCAGTTAGCACATTCTGGATATTTAAAAAATCCTACTAAGGTGTTTGCTATAATGCACAAATACCATAGTTATCATTATAGTGAATGCAACGTAAAACTAAAATCTATATTTTTTGAATTTCAGACAACGCTGAAGAAAAGAAACCAAGTTATGACAGCAATCAGTCGCGTCCATCCACAACTCCGTCCAATCAGACTTCGTCCACGAGCCACATGCACAATCCATCTCCGTCATCGAATGGCATGCCATCGTCATCTCCTGCATCTTCACCAGCAGCAAGCTGTTCCATCATGCCACCAACAACAGCAATATGTTCAACACTGCCGTCCACTAGATCACCTCCCGCCTGCAGTCAACATTTGGCGCAAGAAGTATCAGCAACGAATTCTTCAAGCTGTCTGAACAACTCTTACCGACACTCTTTCGCACCTTCATTACCAGACACAAGGCCTTGCTACAGTGGATATAACAGATAGTGCAGTGCATTTCAGAAACTTCAGACATTTTCATGCGATGTTTTTTCACTTTTAAGAACAAATCTCATGTGACTCTCTGTTACTTACCGATTATTAACAGAGCCTGTGATAAAAAAAAAAAAGGAAAACTTTTGGCTGGGTGTTTTGAGTGTTGTTGACTTAAAGAAAATGAATTCTAAGCAAACAGTAAGATACTGGCTTCAAACTGTGGAAGTTTCGCAAATAATCAATATTAACGCTAATCTCGCCTTCTGATCTGTGAAGCATATGTCTTTGAAAGAAAAACAAATTCCGAATTAATAATAGAATTACTGTGCACAGTATAAAGCAGCTCTTGTTTATGATAGTTTATTCATATTTTTACTGTGCTATTGAAAATACTAGTTGATAAGCAATTGGCGATTTTTTCAGTATGTCAGTTAAAATGTTGAATAGTGTTAAGATGTATCGTGTCTGTCTCTTCGGTTCCGCATTTGTATTTTGAATTAGCTGTGCAAGGAAATTTATATTAAAAGTAGTATATAAATGATACGATTTTGGAATCATCATGTCTTGCAGAAGTTGAAAGCGAAATTTAAAGATGTTTTGAAATAATGTTGTAGTGAATTTCAATAATTCTGTAGTGCATTTCGAAATAATGCCAGGACTAAAGGTTTATTATGTCACTTGCATATGCATTTCAGAAAAATAATGCAGGGACAAAAAAATTATGTCCGGTAGTTTAATGAGAAAATGTAATAAAAATTTATCAGCTTGTATTACCAGTTAGTTATTACACTTAAATTTTCAAGTCTATCTTCATAAGTGTATTTTGTTTATAGATAAATTTCAAGCAATTTAGCATGTAATGCTTATATCAGTTCTTTTACATTTTACAGTTTCTGTAACTGATTAATATATCCACATATAAAACATGTTAGAACATTTCTTTATGCTTTTAGTATCGCAAAAGAGTTATACAAATAACTGGCTGTCGAAATTAATTTTCATGTACTCGCTCTTGTAACTCTGTTAATTATTAATTATTAACCCGGTCACTTTTTAAATTTTGCTGTAGCAGGAATTTTCCCCCGCCCTCCTATAAAGCTTTCTATAAACGGTCTTTTATCAAAATGTAACAACCCTTTTTTAATTGTCTGAAATTTCATCATTCTTTCGGTACTACATTAGAAGATTTTGCTTTTGCTGAAGTATTTGAGTTCGTTTGAGTTAGTTCATTATGGCAAAGCACGCTACCTAAAGAGAAGGAGGCCTTCGTGGAGGACTCTCTAAGGAAAACTGACTCGTATACACTTACACATGGATAAAACCACGAAAACGCCCATGCAGCCAGCCCGTTTGCCTGGATATGAACTCAGATCAGAACTACCAGTATTCAGCGATTTTACCGCTCGGCCGCTGGTGAGCCTGAAGTATTTGAGAACAATATACATTGTAGAGTAAATGTATATTCAATTGAAATTCTACTTCTTTTACAATCTGCGAACAAAGAGGGGGGATTTATTTTTTTAAATACGGGAATAAAAACTTTGCTTTGATAATACGCAAAGAATTTATTTTTACATTTCTTTTACTTTTCTAAATTTTAGTTTTACCTTGTGATTAACCAGCTGTGATCGTGAACCTTTAGCTGAAGCTTTCTTTAAAGATTTAAAACAAAGTGTTCAAAACTTTTTCCCTCATCTGCGATAGCTTGCTTGATTGCTTTTTACCATCGTCATTCAGATATAACCACAATTCATCTGTACAAAAAGTATATTCTGTATAAGGAGCAACTGTATTTTCTTCCTCCCTTTATTAGACCCATAAACTAAACGGAAAGTCACTAAACATTGTTAGCTTGATCGAAACTTGCATCCAGGCCAACGGACCTCTGCATGGAGGCCTGTATGGTTTTTCTCATAAGTAACGTGGATATAAGTCACCTTCCTTAGAAAATCATCCACATAGGCATCATTCCCACCAGACAGATAACCATCGTGTGCTTTACCATAATTAGATAACCTAAACCATTCTCTCTTTACTATCCCTTGAATAGGTTGGTCGTGTTTCGGAGCTACGCATTCTATTTTAAATTTACGCATATTCCAGTCATTGATTAAATGTTTGGCTTTTAATTTTCTGCTGAGAGCAGTAATTGCGGAAGATTTATTTTTAAATGAATTATATTGGCTATTATGTTCTAGTATATTTTGATTTCAAAATTTGTACATCATTCTTAAAAAATTTTAAATTTTTTCTGAATTTTCAAAAATATATTCTTTTATCTAATGCATTAACATGAGCCATTTTGGGATCATGAATATTTTGTTTGCAGTAAATGATGATACCCCTCATTGTAAGACTTTTTGTGAGTTAATTTTTTAATTTTTTGTCGATCTAAACTGCATACTTAATAGAAATAGTTCCAAAAATGGGCGAACAGCCTCTATATGTTGAAATGATGAACGAATAAAGGTAATCTCCTATTTATTTTAAGAATATTTTAATTTCAGGATTTATTTTAACTTCAAAGTTGGCTAAAATCTCATACACAGCCAAATTAAAAAATTACAGAAGAGTATTTAATTTGATTTTTAAAAACACTGGGTAATCATAAACAAGGAGGAAAAGAAAAAGAGAATAAAATAACTTTAACAATGCTATATGAGATTTTTTTTTTTTGTTGTTCTTGTATCTAGCTGAATATATATATATATATACCCTTAAAATATATACTTCTAAATCACTTTTATAAGCTTTAATTTATATTTTCGAGAACACGTTCGAGTCAATGATTTGTTTTGAATAATAACAAGAATGCTTCGTAAAATCATCATCTGAAGACGATAAATGTAAAATGGCTGGATCAGTGTCATCATGTACGACGATGCTTTAAACATGCCTTTAACAGTAAGTTTGAAATCTGAAGTTAATTATATTTAATACTTTCATTGTTATTCTCATTTGCAAAATTAAGTAGGATATGGGAATTAAGTTGGATATTTACATTTTTATTATATTACTTTCAATATTATATTTTTACTATAATTTATTATTATTCATAATTTAATCTATAAATTTGAATACAAAACTCTTACGTTCTTTACCCTGAAGGTTTCTATTTTGGATATTTTTAGTAGTCTCACTTATACTGCACAAAACTTATTTAGCTTTCACATTTATCCACATTAAACTGAGCAGAAATAATTCTTAATATATTATTTCCTCATAAATCACAACACATTGTTATTTATCACAAGCAGATAGGAAAGGATGGCCATGTCAAAACATGCATAAGAATACAGTAAACCTTCGTTAACACGAATTTCAAGGGACCGAAAAATCAAGAGTTCGTGTTAGAAAAATTCGTGTTAACTGGGAACTCAAATTTTATTTTTGGAATAGTTTTTTCAATACATTAACCATTTACAGTATATATAGGTATTACAGTATATTATGTATGTCATCATAGAAAACACTACAGTACTACACAAATTATTGTAATGTAACTTTAAAATAATGTACTCACAGATAATTTTTTGTTGAAATATTCCTTTATATTGCATTGTCACATAACGAGAATGAAAATACCTGGTAATTTCACTGCCAACTGTACTCATGCTTCCATAAAAATAGCTGTCAGTTAGGATGTTGTAGCAAAACGCTCCTAGTGACCAAGGCGTGTGTTCTGGTGAGTGGGAGATATGATATTGGCCTCCTCAATTTCTTCCGATGACAATTTTTCCACCTCAGACATACCTTATACATCAGATTTCACTGAGCACACACGGGAACATTGTTATCCGCATTAACGAACTCCTCAAAACCAACACAAGGATTCGCAACGTCCATTCGTGAAGTGAAATGGTATCGTTGTCATCATCTAACTTCACACGAGGATCAGAGTCTTTATACCTCCAGGCTCGGCTAAAACAGTTCTGTAGGTGTTGCGATGATATGGATTTTCATGATCAAGCGGAAAGAATTTCCAGCTTTTATCGTATCAAGCACACTCAGGTTGGCGATTCGCACTCCTTTTCAGCAGTGCGAATTGCAGCTCTCGCAAGTCGTTTGCGATAAGACGTCTTCATAAGAGCAATAATGCCTTGAAAGGCTGAAGATGACTTGTTGCATTTGGAATCTTTACGTTAGTTAAGTTAAAAAAAATTGATAGTTCGCGTTAAAAGAGGAAAAAAATTCTGAAAGCTATCAGATTTCCTATTACGCCCAGGTGGCGTTTCTTTTACGTTTTGTGTATTACCTTTATTTATTAAATATCATGTTCTTCGCATTTAAACCATTAAATTCAATTCAACAGCATTATCACAAAATAATTTAAAAAGAGCATATCTTTAAAATTCCCAAAAGGTCTCGCGAGGTGAATATATATATTTTTTCTTTCCGTACAGTGTTGCCATTGCTCGCTTTAAAATCGTTAAGTTTTTGTAATCAAACATTCGTTAAAGTTTTACAAGATATGAAATAGATAATAAAACAAATTCCAAATTTGTGCTTTCAGATACCTATATTCGAGTGGAGGACTACGTTATTCAAAACTGGATGGCTCTAGGTACCGTTGTTTTTTCACAGTGCGAGAAACATACATACATTGATGCAGATGCTTCATTACTTAATTTTTAAATATAATGCAGGGTCTAATATTTGGGGCAACAATTTTAAATGCCAGTGATTATTAAATTAATTAATATATAATTTTCACTTCAATTAAATGAAATGTTGTTTATAGTGAACCAACGCAAAATGCCAAAACGAAATTAATAGCCCTTCTGGGCAAATTGCCCCTTTGCGCTAAATATGTAATGATGCAACCGACTAAAAACTGTTCGTAATCGTGTTAATCGAAATTCACGTTAACCGATAAAACTTCCGATAAAATCATATACATCGCTCCCGCAACTGAAATTTGTTCATGTTAACCGACATTCACCATAAGAGAGTTCGTGTTAACGAGGGATTACTGTTTGCTCTTAATTATAGGATAATGAAATAGGTTTGGATTGACTTATTTGAATTACTGCAAAGCACCGAGGATTTTATCTGCCTAGCTGGAGGGGTGCATTTCTGGAAGGCTTTCACGTAACGTGTCTTGAAAACACGAAATGCAGCCATCCCGTTTGCGGTAATTGGAATCCGACTCGAACTACTAGTTACTGCTCGAACTACTCTGTTACTGCCTGCTCGCAAGTAAGCACAATCAAGAAATGGAAAGGCTGTTAAAAATTTTAAGAATTGTAGCTGTAACTGAATTTTGCGGGTAAAGGTTAAAAGGAATTTCAATTTCCGCAAAATGCCTAATTTTATTCCTAATTGAGCATATCTGAAACAATGAGTGCAATTTAAATGCTGAAAATCCCAATTTCTTATCATGTATTTGCATAAAATGAGTTTAGAACACAATTCATGAATAAATCCTGCCGAGTCCACCAATTATTTAAAAAGATTCAAAAAATGATGCTGTAAAGCCCAGAAGTTATAGCGAAAATCTTTCGTACTTTTTTTATTTTGGAGATTAACTTTCGGATTCGCAT